GGGGTATTCACGAGGAATCACAGAGGAAGGGGGAACAGGCACCCACGGCGGGTTTCAGCCACGGAAAGATGCGGGCTACGACCTGGGTGAACCTCAAAAATGCGATGCTGAGTGACAGAAGCCAGAGGCCCAGGCCACCCGGCACATGATTCCGTTTGTGTGAAATGTCCACAGCAGGATCCAGGCCCAGGACGCAGATCAGGGACTGGAGATGTGGAAAAGCAGAGTGATTACCCAACAGGCGTGGACTTCGTCCTTTTGGGGATGGAATGTTCTGGATCTAGATGGAGGTGGCAGTTGCATGACACCCAACGTGCTCAGAGTCACTGAGGTGTTCACTCTTAATGGTCAATTTTCAGTTATGGGAATTTTTCTTTAATTACAAAAATCAAAACCTTCTTCCCCTCCTGCTAAATCAGTGAGGATTCCCGCATCAGCTCCCTGGACTGGACTGGGATCCAGGCTTCACACTCAGCAGGGCAGGGAATGCAAGGCTCAGCCTGGCCCCGGACTCCCCACAGCTGCCCTAGGGGGTGTGCACCCCACATCCATGGCCCCTTGCCCAGGGGAGGGAGCAGGGCACCAGGGGAGTGCGTGTCCTGACCACAGCATTTCTCAGCTCTGCGCTGTTGACATTGGGGCCCAGATCACTCTTCAAGGTGGACATCCTGTGCACCATAGGAAGCTTCTGCATGCCTGGCCTCCCCCACCAGGTGCCAGTAGCATGGTAGATAGACAGGAAGATAGATAGATGGACAGACAGAAAGATAGATACAATAGTCTACATTTGGGATCCTAAATGTTCCCCCAAGACCCACATGTTAAAGGCGTGATGCTTTGGGAAGTGGTGGTACTAGAGTGGGCCGCTGGGAGATCCTGCAGTCGCCTGGGCATACGCGGCCCTTCACTCGCCTTCTCCTCCCCGCCACGAGGTGAGCAGCTGTGCTCTGCCGCGTGGGCTGCCTCACCTCAGGCCCAAAGCAACACAGCCAACTGGTCGTGGACTAGAACTTCCAACGCTCTAAGCCCAAATAAACCTTTCTTCTGTCTTCCATCTTTGAGCACCTCAGGTATTTTGTTACAGTGATGAAAAGCCAACTGACACAGATATATGGAGACTCGGATAAATACAGACAGATAGAATTGCTAGAAAGACTGACAGACGGTCTCTAACATGGTCACTCCTCGGTCCCCACTCTCTATACTGACAACATTTGGACTGAATCTTTCTCTGTGATGGGGCTGTCCTGTGGACCATAGGATATTTAGCAACATTGCCGGCCTCCACCCACCATGTACCAGGAGTACCATAGACAGACAGGCAGATGGATAGACTGACAGATGGAAGGATGGATGATCAGACAGATGGATAGATGAACAGATAAATAGAGATAGAGATCATAGATGGATAGACAGAGATGGGACACACACACACACACATACACACACACACTTATATACATATACAAATTTTCTGTGGCGGGGCATGTTCCAGAGCACTGTAGAATGCCGACCAGCATCCCTGGCCTCCTCCTCAAGACTCCGGAGCACCTCCTCCTCTGGGCGTGCAGGACAACTGGAAATGTCTGCACTTTCCCTCGGGTGAGAACCTCTGGTTTGGAGCTACCTTGCATCTGCCTGTGAGCCTCAACCATCCTGCCACACCAACTTCGTGTGAAAACATGACACATTTTCAGGGAGCTGCAGGCACCCAAATCATCTCCCTGACAGTCGCCTTTCATATATCACCTCCCCACCAGCCCTGGGAGGGGGATCCTACAGCCCATGAAATGCCCGGCTCTCCTGATTGGACCAGTCGTGGGGCCAAATAGGCCAACTAATTTCTGTCCCCCTTGGATTTTGGCATTGGGACGCAAAGATCAACCCAGTGAGATGATGTCAGGTCCATGCAGCCACCTGAAGCTCAAGGCAAGTGCAAGTTCCAAGGGAGAGAAAGGAAGATTCTAGAAGAGGAGCCAATGTCCACAGAGGACCCCAAGGGTGAATGGGCAAAAAATTAATACTCATGACTTTCTGGCTTCCCTGGGAGCCCTGCTTCCTCCGTGTAGACTCTCCAGCGTGGCCTGAGGGGCACCCTCTACCTGGGAACGTTCCCGTCTTGTCCACTTGTAGAGTCAGTGCAGCCACGACATCTCCCCCAACATGGAATCTGGTGTGGCCCTGTGATCAGCTGCAGGTGGCTTCGGACCCCTCCTTCCCCTTGGAATAAAGCCCTTAGTTCTCAACACTGGCTTGGAGGGGGGTTCAGTTTCTGGTGAACAAACAAAGAGACCCCCACCATATGGAGGAACTGTGGCAATGAAGAAAGATCCAGAATAGCAAAGACTGAGCGAGAGAAGACTGCCCCAGGAACGAGCGGAGCCACGCGGTCCAGGCGGTGCACTTGGACGTCTGGCCGGCCAGCCCGGCCCAGCTGCTTTGTTGCTCGGTGTCTGCTGACTGGCCTGACCCGGCCTCCAGGGGACGAGCTGGGTGCCCGGGTGCTTCTGAGGAGCACCCTCCAACTCCGCAGCTCCCCGCCTCTGACTCCCCCCACACCTGGGCTCCCGGAGCAGGGTGACCCAGGGAGCTGCTGGGAGCCACAGCCCTGAGCACCTCATGGGCAGAGCCACCATCTAAACAGTCCTTCGCACAACGTGGTGACTTGACACGTGTGGGCTTTGGGTCATGGTCACCACAACCAAATAACCAACTCTGGTGGAGCTACCAGTGTGTGTGTGTGTGTGTGTGTGTGAGAGAGAGAGAGAGAGAGAGACTTAAGTTCTGCCCTCAGCAAATTGCAAGTCAACAGCACAGTATCATTGACCGCCGTCACCATGCTGAACATCACAACATCAGATCCTCGTTCTCAGAACTGAGTCTCTCTTTTTTCAATTGAACACAGAGGCGCTCTACCACTGAGTCACAGCCCATCCCTGTTTAGCACAGTTGCAGAGGCTGGCCTCAAACTTGAAATCCTCCTGCCTCAGCCTCCCCAGTAACTGGGATGACAGGCAGGCACCACCACGGCTGGTCTGATCCATCTTATGTCAGAAAGTCGACACCTTCTGACCAACATCTCACTATTCACCCACGCCCACCCCCGCCAAGCTCCTGGCACCCACCACTCTTCTCTCTGCTTCTTTAAGATTGTTTTTTTTTTCTTTCTTTCTCTGATTCTACAAACACATTGGGATTGGACTTTCCTTTTTGCCTGTGGTTGGTTCCGAAGCTACGAGCCTGGAGTTAAACTTAGACACCTCCTTGTGGCCAAGTCTTTGGAAAAGAGTGTCTTAAAAGTCTTTTTCTGAAACCTCTCTGCATACGTCTGCTTCATTACAGAGGGGGACATTGCAAAGTCTCAGCAGGAAAACCAACCAACCAACCCTCCCAAGAAAGGCTGAGCCTCACCCAGGTTTGGCTGGAGTGTCCCCATCCGGCCGCCCAGGAGGCACGCACCACAGGCTCCCAGCGGAGGTGTGATCCTGGGCTCGCAGCGTGGCCAGAGAGCTCAGGAGAAAGGGCTTCCCGGGATCAGAGTCTAATTCAATGGCAGACCCCGGGAGGGCCAAAGGCTGACTGCAGATAACAGGCCTGGACTCTTCAAGCAAAGAACATTCTTCAGAGGAAGAATGTTCCAGAAGAGAGGCTTCAGCAGACTGAACGTTGGTCTCCTCTAAACCCCATGTTGAAATGCTAACCCAGCGGGAATGCGACTGGAGCCTGGTAGAAAAGACCCCCAGCTCTCTCCCCGCCCTTCTGCCACCTGAGGACACAGGAAGTCGGGGCCCTCACCAGAGCCCGGCCATGCTGGCGGCCTGCCTCAGACTTCCAGCCTCTAGAACAGGGGAAAATGCAACCGTCCCTCAGGACCCACAGTGATGGGGTCCAGACCCCCAAGACACCAAAATACGCAGGTGCCCAGTCCCTTCTAGTCCCTTCTAGAACAGGCACAGGTTTGCACAGCCCTCCGTCATCTCCCTCAGTGACTTAGGAAACCTGAGGCCAATGCGCCGTGCTCAGCTGTCACAATGGCCAGGACGTCACGGCAGGACAAGGTCCGCACACAGTCGGTCCGCACACACGCGTCCTTCTGAACACCTGCAGCCGGCGGAAACCAGAGACACGGAACCCCGCGGCACAGAGAGCTGGCGGTGCCTCTGTTGGGATAGGCCACTCAGTCTGTGACACTTCAGTAAGCAGCCTGAACAAACCAACAGAGAACAAAGAGTCCCAACAACTAAATGGGATTCTGGGTCAGGGTGGGAGAGGGACCGCAATGAAGGACATTATGGGGACCTTGGCACGTTTGGATTGTGAAGTGCGTACTGAACATCATCGTGTCCACATTGATTTCTTAACCTCAGAATTGTCCTGTGGCAATCTGAGATTCCGACTGCTTTTGTTCTTGGGAACTGTGTGAATCATTCAGGAGGAAAACATCGGGGGGAAATTACATATGTGTGAGTTAATGTGTGAGTGACAGACCGCAGACAGATGACAGATGACAGGAGGATGCTAGAAAGATTGATAGATTGATACAGGATGGAAAAGATGACAGATAGGTAGGTAGAGGAGGGAAAGATACAGCTTATGTAGCAAATTGATGCAAACAGGTGATTCTGGGGGACTGTTCTTGACCAAGGCCTATTCTACCTATGGGGACACCTGCCAATGTGCTGAGATACTTTGGGGTGTCACAGCATGCGGTACCACCAGCACCTGGGAGGTTGCTCAGTAAACGCAAGGCACGGGGGAGCCTCCCCTGCAAAGAACGAGGGGCTCCGTGTCAGCAGCGCTGAGGCTGAGAAACCTGGTGTCTAGGAATTCTTCACACTGTTCTTGTCATCATCGATAAATCTGAAGTTATTTTAAAGTAAAAATTTTACAAAATAAATTCTACAGGCAAATCCGTGGAGACAGAAAGATGCGTGCTGACAGGGACTGGGGAAGGGAAACGGGGAGTGGCTGCTAACAGGGACAGGGTGTCCTTTGTGGGTGATGGCAATGTTTTGGTGACATTTGCATAGCATTGGGAATGCGTTAAAAACCACTGAACTGTATTCAATTTCCTGAGTCCAAAGGCACAGCTCGGGAGGAGGATGAGTCCCGGAGTACTGCTCCCCAGCAGGATGAGAACTCTTAACAACACTGTGTCCTGTGAATCAGAACAGCTACAAGAGAGGATTTTGAATGTTCTCAGCGTTCGAGATGGCGGGTAGCCTAAGTGTTCTGAGTTGGTCATTTATACATGTAGTGAAAGGTCACACTGAGACCAAAAACGGGTACAATGATTGCCTGTCAATTACAAAATTAATCAAACTTGGGGGTCACTGGGGATTGAACCCAGAAGTGTCCTACCACTGAGCTATATCCCCAGTCCCCCAGC